GCTCTTCCTCGTCAGAAATGAAACTGGCCGGGGGCTGGGCCGGGAGCAGGCGCCCCTCCTGTAAGGACACGCGGTCATCAGGTGGCCCGCAGGCCCTGGTCCAGGCTACAGGGCTGCACTGCCCGGTCCCGGGTCCCTGGTCACAGGGAGCCGCTGAGCACGCCGCCCCAAGGAACACGAGGTTAGGAAGGCGGAAGACACTTCCCGCCAGCCGAACGACACACTCAAGTGGCTGCCTATCGGCCCTACGGGATCAGGTGAGGCACTTCCCTTTCCTGATGGACACACGGTCACCACGTGTGGCCACACCCCCTCTTCCCACGGTGCTGGGGACGGAAGGCCCGCCCCAGCCCCCCAGGGGCGCCTCTTCAATTACAGCGGGCACAGAGCAAGTGAATCACGCCCCCTCAAGTGAAGCACGGGAGAGCAGGTCCCGAGGGATTAAGGTAAGCAAGAGGGTGGGGGAGGGGGAGGGTCTCTGTGCCTGACAACTCCCAGTCCCCCCACCACCCGCAACAGGGCCCGCGGCCACTTACTGAACTGCGGGGGCGCGCCGTAGCCCTGGGGGAAGCCCTGGGGAGGGGGGAATCCTCCAGGAGGGGTGGACACGATGTAAGAGGTGAAGGGCGGGGGCGGCGGGGGGGCTCCTCTTCCCGCGGGGGGCGGTCCGTAGCCACCTGGAACACAGCGAGCAGGCTGAGGGTGGGCAGAAGCCCCCAGCCCCATCCACCAGTTTCACACCCTGTTCTCTCCATCTCCTCCCAACAAGGACTCACCGATCGCCTGTCCTGCTGGCACCCACATCCCTGCGGGGAAAACAGAGGGGGGTGGGTGCTGCGTCAGCGCCATGGCGTGGACTGGGGACCCCCGCCCCCCGCGGGAGCTGGTGTCCTGACGCATCACGGGTGCAGGGGAGGTGTCAGAGGGGAGCCTTCCTTGGGTCACATGGCCCCAGCCCTTCCAAGCAGCCCCTCGGTCGGGAGGGCGGGGACGCCCACAGAGCAGGGACTCAGTTGCATGTGTGGGACTCAGGCTGGGAGGCAGGAAGCCAGGGTGGCCTCCGGCCAAGCGCTGGTTCTTCCCCTGCTTGTGGGTGTGAGGGCATCTGGTCTCACTAGATGGTCCCCTACAGCCGTGGCTTGTTTTGCAATAAAAACCATTCTAAAAGCCAGCCCTGGAAGAGACCAGGAATAAAGCCTGGAGCCATGCAGAAACGGGTCTATGAGCTTGGGGGCGCCCGGTGCCCTTCCCTGGACAGTGTTCCTTCTCTGGGTTTCTAAAGGGAATGGAGACTCCTGGATCCTGGCTCGGGGCCCCTGGCCACCCCAAGCCTCCCCTGCAAAGCTGTCCGTAAAAGCTCTGCCAGCCCCACACGGAGGGCCCACAGCCCAGGGAGCTGGAATAGACCCAAAGGGCTCAAGAGGCAGGACTCCATGCTTCCTCCCCGCTGGGTGGAAACCCCGCTCTCCCCAGAGCCTCTGACCAGAGGCTGCGAGACAGTCAGGCCACGTCCATCTCCCACTTCGGCCTCGTGGCATCTGCCCTTGAGGACACATCTCCGACCTCCGCCGGAGGCACCAGCCCAGCACTCCCAGCGCCCGTGGGCCGCAGACGGGACAGACCCACCCAGCCCTGGACAGGGAGGGGCCCTGGCACAGGTTCCCGCCCCCACAGCCGGCACGTGTGCCAGTGGGCGCGTCCCAGCTGTGGATGGGCCCGTCGGGAGGGGCGCCAGCCTTACCTTGCGGGCCATACCCCTGCTGCCACGTGGGCGGGGGCTGACCTGCCCAGCCGTTGGCGGCACTGGGCACGACCCGGCTGCCCCACTGGCTGGCCCCCGGCTGGCCTGGCGCTTGGCTTTTGCTGTCCCGTGGCTCGGCCCGTTTAACTTCCACCTAGACAAATAGAGCTCTGGTTTAGGGAGATGCTGAGGGTCTCAGACCCCCTTCCCTTCAGACACACCCTCAGATAACTTACAACTACACTTAGCATCTTATTATGACTTAAAACTAAATACTTAACTATAAACCTTATTTAGGCCAGTAACTTTTTTTCTTAAAAAAGTTTTTAAAATTCTTTTGTCTAAAAAATGTTTCTCAGGTACAACAGATCCAACTGTAAGTCACATGAAGCCCCATCCACTGCAGAGCAGGGCTGAGGGCAGCGAGGTCTGTGCTTGACAGGGGCCTTTCAATCAAGTTAAGGGGCAGTGTCAACCCGGGGTCACGCAGATCAGGCTCGGGCCAACCATCGCGGCCCTCCTCTCAGCCCCCACCCCACCCCCACCCCCCCGGCCGGCCGTGCAGGCCCTCTCCAAAGCCCCCGCCCTGCCTGCGCCCTTCAGCTCATACCTGAGAAACACAGTTGGTTTACTTAGGTTTTTTATTTAAAATGTCTAATGGAAGATAAAGACTTACCTTCCCCAGGCTAACGCTTAAAGAATCTCAATTAACTCAAAATAATGTCAGAGGGAATGGATGTGATAAGAGAGTCTTACATTACATCTAACAAAAAGAGTAAACAAACATGCAATAAAATGGACATTTGAATCAGTAAGCAATCTTCATACTGTGTTAGGTCAGCAGCCCAGGACCCTTCGGCTTTTGGGCGTGCCAGGAGCCACAGCATGTGGAGGGTGGGACAAGGGGACCGAGGTACCCATCCCACCAGGCCTAGCCCCGCCTACACAGCCTTTCCAGTGTGGGCCGACTGACAGCAAAGACCCCCGATTCCAGGGCTGCGTTAGCATTCTAGAATCCCCAGTTATTCTTGTTTGTAGGATAAATTTTAGCAAGGAGAAAGAGACAATGAATTCACTTGGAGTCGTCCTTGGGGTCTCACAGCCTGGTGCGCCAAGCATCCTGTATTCAGAATCCCATCAATTCTGCCTAAAGGCATTCCT